ACAAACGTGTGTAGGTGTGCAAAACTCGAATGTCACAGGACGATTATTATCCCGCTCTTTCGTGTATAGTGAGGCGCAACCATCCAGGATGTCACGGTTCTGGTACGAGAAAATACATTTATATTTCCATTTTCTCCACAGGATTTCGAGGCTTTTACACGGAGAGGTATGTACTCCATGCACGTTTGCATGCATGTCACATACGGACGTGCTATCGTCCCTTCAAGCTGTGGTGAACTGTCAGCAGAATTTGTGCTGGACGATGCATAGGTTCGCGCCGCGGTGGAACAACTGGCGCCAGGCCGTGCTTGATACGTGTGGGAATAGACGCATACAGCCGGATGTGTGCTGAAACGTGTGCTACGTACATGCCATCATTTTTCGCAGTCGACCGCGGGCTGCATAGATCTTTCCCCCTCGTGCTCGAGTTCTCTATCATTCAGACGATGCCCGATGACGGCGGGATTGTGGCACAGGACCTGGACTCATTTGCACAGCACCCTGCGCATGCTCGGATGCACTTTCTATCCTGTGTTATGATTAGGTTCAATATGAATGATAAGGTTCGATGGCAAGGCCTACTGAACGAATGGTGTCGAACCGCATAGCTGACGCCTATAGCCTATACAGCTATAATAGCCAATCCAAACGAAAATCAAACTGCATATTCCACCTACCTGCCACTGCACAAGGCAACTCTCTCTATGAATGTCACTCTAGCGTGTAGCTCACAAGATGCCCATTCCGTGGCAGACAGAGACGAGTTGGAGGATGTTGCTACAGCTGGAGCAGGTGGGTAGCCTCCCTCCGCTGCGTGTAGGTTTGTTGAATGCAGGACAGACGGCAATGTGCGATCGTCGTGCTGGGACGCTTCAATTGTCGAGCGGACGTTTAGCCAACTATGCGACACCTGCCCCGTGGTTCCGAACCGACTTCCGACAGAGTTGTGGGAGCAGATAATCGATTTCATTGCGGACTACGGATTGTACGACATGGGACGACTTGGCCAAGTGTGTCGTGGGTGGTACGTCCGATGCCGATTTTATGGTCAAGATGATCCTTGACATGTGGTAGATGGACAAGAAGAAGATGTATCCTCTGATCAATACACTGGTCGAGCACCCCGAGCGATGCAGTGCCATTAAGACTGTCTGGTTTGATCTAGGCCAGCCGATTGGCCTCATTGGGTCGTTTGCTGTGCGCATGGTGCAGAAATTGCCTCGAGTCGAATTTCTCAGACTCTCGCATGTCAAATGGGAGACTGGGAAACTCCAAGCCCAAGTCTTCCTCCATCTCACTCTCACATTTGGGTCGGTCACCAGGCTCGAACTCTTCAACGTGACCTTCCCGTCTGCGGTGGTGTTTGGGCCACTTATGCGTGCGCTCCCTTGCCTCTCCTCCCTCGAATTTCATAGTGTACCATTTCAGAAGTTGCAAGTGCGGTGCGAGTGCCAGGCGCCCTCCGACTCGACGCCGCCCATCTGGATGACAGCGACGATGTGTTTGACTTCCTTGCGTCGATCGGCGCGCACATTCGGCATCTCACCTGCTATGGACGCGACCTGGACAAGCATTCGGAGCTGCTCGCTGTGATTTCCGAGTCGCTCTTGTCCCTTGAGATTTGGTTCAGCAGGTACGGTACGTGGCGGAGATGACGTCATCCAGTGTTCGTTGACGATGTTCCCTCAAATTCCTCAGAATTATTAATCGATCTCACTCCCGCTGTCAACTTGCGTGTCTTGTCGTTGAATGGCAATCTCGAGGAAATCGCCAAGGCAGCCAATCTCTTGTCTCGAGCGGCTTTATCGAAGCTAGCCGAGGTCACCGTTAAGTCGAGGCTCCTCGTCGACGTCCAGGATAGATTGAATAGCGTCGACAATGACTGTTTTGTACAGATGGACCGCATCTTCTCTGGCAAGCAGTTCCCCACCCTCGTAAAAATCACCTTTCCCCTGCCTTATATCGTGCTCGAGTTTCTCAGCGAGGCAATAAACGTTACATCCGAGGCCTCTTGAGTATCACTGCTCGTGTCGAAGCTTCCAACGCTGCATGCTAGTGGTCGCCTCCTGTAAGTCAATATCCTTGTCTCTACATTTCAATTCCACATCAATTGACGCTTGCACTTATCGTAGGTCTCCTGTAGCCATCCATGTGAAAGCCTTTCGGTCCCAGCTTTTGTAGGCTGTGTGTTGCCCCCACAGCCTCTGCTAGCGCATCCCCTCGCATGCTCCATGATTCTCGGCTCCTTTCCTACCGGTACGCCTTTCTCGCTGCCTAGAGTACAATGCCCCCATGCTGGCGTCTTTGTATGTGATGCGGTATGCTCTCCACCTCATCCCTTCCTCCCGGAATCCTTTCCTCGTCGTCTCCTTCCTGTTCCTCATTTTTTCCTGTTCTTATCTTTCACGTCGCATTCATACTTTGACTGCCGCGAATGCACGTCCCTTCACCCGCAGAGAACCCTGTTGTGAGACCATCCTGTCCCGTCAAGCTCAAGCACAACCTCCTGGATATTGTGTTTCCTCCTCCCAGAGGTAATGAGAGTCGCTGTCACCATTTCTGGCGCGACTGAAACTGCCATCTTCGTTGAACCCAAGATACTGATGCATCCCCTCGTCCTGTTCCCCAAGCGATGTCATAGTCTTCTGGCCACGTCACATTCGGCACGACCTCTTCAACGTTTGTGCGGGCCTCAACACCGGCTTTGGGCATCGCGGTCGGCAACTCTGAACTGAATCTCATTCCTATCCTCCCGACATTCTCCAATTGAGAAGTCAACGTGATCATCGCGAGTGAGATTCTTCTTGTTCATCTCATCAGTGCAGATGAATTACAGCGCCGACAAGGAGACGTGCTCCTCCCCCACCCACACGCACTCTATCTGCAACGCTACCAAACCATGCAGCCAGGAGCTCCCCCACAGAATTTGTCTGCCTCACCCTCTTTCGCCTCGACGCGAACCGCAAGGTCAGCCCTAGCATTACCTGCAAGGGCCTCATGAAATAGCGGACGCTATCGCTGCGTGTGTGGCGACGATTGACGAGGTTCCCGTCCAGTGCCAGTGCCGGTGTGATGCGCCTGCTGAGGCGTATGAGATGGCCTGCGAATGGTGAATGAACGGGGTGGCTCAATTGTACGGTCAGTTCGCTCGCGGACTTTGCCGGGAATTTTGCTCGATTTGATATCTCAGCACACGAGCGAGCACAATAGAGCAGCCCTATTACATGAGCTAGCTCACATCATTTTCATCGGGTGATGTTCGCACAGCATGCCCCGCATTGCGATCAGTGACTTACTGACTGCTGCAGTTGTAATAGGCAGATGCTGGCCTCCTTAGCACCACCAACGACCATGTAGATCGCGCCCCCTGCTATTGCCCCTGCTAGTGATATTTGAGAGTCCAAGCCTAAGGCCAGACCTGCGGAAATAAAACCCATGACGCCGAAAAAACATTTGTGCTTTAATCCCGAACCCTCAAAGAGCGGTGAGAGTCAACTGGAGCCCTGAATGATTGCGATCAATCCAGCGTCCGACGATCGGCACATCTTGCCAACAAAAACCTGCGTGCAGAAATTACCATCTACGACAGAAGAGACCGAGCGAAGACGATGCGGAGAGCTATCCTTTCATGTGGAGGCTCGACCTTGCTCATTTACGGTAAATTAGGGACTGATACTCAATATCCTCTACCTTACTAGTAGCTACGACGTGGGTAGGTGCTTTTCCCCCTGATGATGAGTCATACACGCGACTGCCAGTGATTGATAATGATAATATCGGGGTGCGGCAAAGTGATATCTGTCACCGCGTCGTGACTGCGAGCACTACAGTACACCTTTCAATACCTCGGCCAGTAATAGTCCACTGTCCGAGACGTGGCGTCATTCCCAAGTATCACTCACTACTTAGGTATTCATGTTATCATGCTTGAGCTTTCTGTGGCCCTACTGTGACTGTTACTGCTTGTGATGTGTATCTTTGTCAAATTTCAGCAATAATATTGATAATTTGTACACGGAGACAGGACCGTATGTCTTCAAACAGATATGGAAACCAATTTAGCACACAAAGATATAGGATAATAAAAGATACAACAAATTAAAGCACAATTGTTTCCATCTCGATAGCACAAAACTCGCGAATACAGATTCCTCGTCCGTTCTAGAAATCTGCGACAACATCATCCTCATGAGAACAATAGAGCAGGGGACAAATTTTGACAGAATTCACTATATAATCACCTTGGATTATTACGTGAATCCACCCGCAGCCTTGGCATCAGCGGCCGCATCATTATATAGGTCCTGGTTGCTCGGCGCCACATACCAATGGTGGCTGAACGTAGATTTCTGCGTGTAGGGGTTGATTGTAGAGATGTAGCTGCCATCTTCCTTCTGAACACGGAAGGTTATATGGAAGGGCTCGTCTCGCTGAGTGCCACCCGAATGAGCGGAAGAGCTGGGGAGTCATTGTCAGGTTAGTATTGTCTGAAAGCATGGAGTACTTACACAATTGTAGCCTCATGTGCTCCTTGAGCATCCAGACCAGAGGTCTTGCAGTACTCTTTCAGCTTTTTCTCGAGGTACTTGCGTACCGCGATAAAGCGCGGGGACTTGTATAAATCTGAGTTGAATCTGACGGAATGGATGGAACGGCGTTGCATGAAAAACATGGCTGCAAGACAAATACGAAGGCGACCAGTAGCTGGTCTGTCTGTATCTCATGGCGGAATTTATACCTCACCACTGGCTGCCCATCAGCGGAGGAATATCACCAACAAACGTCCAGCAGGACCCTATCCCAGTACTTCTTCAACCCATGTGCATGTGTACACGAGCCAGGGTTTCTTGCCCACTTGCTGTTCCGGGCCTTTCCTCCTGACCATAGTCCGATCCTTGTGCACATCTTCTCTAGAGATCTATTTGCATCTGTGGTTATTTTATGAGATGTTTGAAGGCGATACAGTCCTGCAGGCTATTTGATGCTGCTAGTGCATGCGTGAAATGGTGATATGGATTAAAAACCAGGTAGAATTTTCGCAGAAGTCCTAGTTTAGTAATGTCAGTAAGCATTAGGAACACAGCCCCACACGGTTGCGGAACATGGCTAAGGGAGTCACAAGCGTGGCAGGGCTTGTATAATTAGACCCACAGGAGGAAGGCATGTAGTTTTAATATCCTCGCGTACGAGCCGTTCACGTACACGTATCCAGAGCTTCGATCAGAAACCTAAGCCATATTCAGTACGTGTGAATGAAAAGAAGTGTAGAACTATGCAAGGAATAAGGCAGAGTGCACATTGATCGCCCTGAATCCATCTGAGGCATTGGAGCAGAGCCGATGTGCATATCCACATGAGTTACTATGCTTAGAACATCATTCTCCGAGCATACATCACCGATGCTTGTGGACTTACTTCTAAACATGTCGTTTGGGAATATGCGGGATATGTGATAGGATTCACCATCTGAGTCTTCTTTGAAGATCCAGGGAAGCCTTCTGGTACGCCACATAAGTCGCGCCCATCAGCGTCTAAGATAATCCCAGAAACAACCTGATAATTCTGCTTGATTTCGTATGTACCGTATCAGCCTTCAGACTTTTCCCATTGGCTGCACGGTCACATAGTGACTCGCCGACATGTGTGATTGATATTGCAATGAGCTAAAGTCTTCAACCCGTCAGTGGTTGAGAAAAAAATTGAGCTTGACCCTACGTACCCCTGATCCCCTAGCAGACATAATCCACGTTGAGAGACCTCCTCACCTCCCTGTACACCAATCCAAATCGTCGAATGATGAATTGCATACAGTCCATTTGAGACGAGAACAAGCTGTCGGGACTATCGGGAAATTCTGTTTAAGCAATTAGAAACAAATAGGGACCAAAGAGGCAGGACGCGACTAGACGAGTATCATTCCAGCGAGTGTGGCGTCGTGTTCATCGTAGTTTGAACACTATTGACTCCTATGGGTTGACTAATCCTCGTTTTGTGCTGCACTGCATAAGCGTGTGGACATAACACAGGTTGACACGGCAAGACCAAGCAAGATCCGAGTCGAACATATTCAAGTAACTCAGATCAAGTACCACGCGCCCAAGGAATAAATGGATTCGCGGACGCACTTCACGAAAGGAGTCGGCGGAATTACACCTATGGACCCGAGAGCTAACAGGAAAGATATGTTGAACAAATACCCGACTGGACTACCTCCTTGAAGAGTGATGTGGCTGTAGGCACCAATCATATCATGCTATGACTCGCTGGTGCTTCTTGTCTACAGTAGGCAAGTTATGAAGATGCGATCCCACACGTTCCAAAATGGCTATGATTTCGTCGAAAAGCCGACGGTTCACATTATTACAGAGAAGAAGTCTTGCCGAGACCTGATTCTGGAAGTTAAATTAGCCGTGAGTGTAAATGACAGAGTTCAGACAGACGTGCCTCGAGATGACGATGTCGACAACCAAGCTTTCCTCAAGCTTCAGCATGAGTCCAGCAAGCGGAAACACTGCGGAAACCAGAGTCCGATTGGCCCGGAATGAATTGATGATGGATCAATACTGCGGAATGTATCCGCTGTTTGTTCGTTGCGCGATATGATTGGAGGATATATAAGCGCTCAAATACACTGTGCCTCCGTGTGTGCTTCCTCATTTAGTAGCACTGGTCATATCCTTTTTTTCCCATACGAGCTCCGAGTCAGTAAGTGCGAGTCAGAAGCTGCTGCTTTTGGCTTCTAGAACTCACTGCTCTACGGGTCTACCCGCGCGGGCTTCAAAACGTCGAGCATTTCCTCGACATAAAAGAGTACTTGGAGCCACGGTATGATAGCGATCATTGCTCGTTGTTTTCTGTCCAGGATCGTGGCGTGTCATTCCACGTCGCCCCCTCTTCGTCATTCACTGAACCTCTGTCTCTCAAGTACTTGTTCTACTTACTCTACCTCTGCTATGAAGCCAGTGATGGAGAGCGTTCGTCTCAAAGAGGGAGACGGAGAAGAATTCACTTGCGATGAAGAACCACATATGCTGCCTCCAGAGACGGGATATGGATACCTCGCGTTGACCCTTGGACATCATCTGGACCAAGACAAGCGTGACTTGGAAATTGTTCGCAAGCTAGGCTGGGGAGGCTACTCCAATGTCTGGCTCGCCACACCCCACAAGTACGCCACAACTTCATCGCCGCTTGTTTTCTTCGACCTCATCACGCATTCCAGAAAAGATTATCGCTCGAAATACGTTGCTGTTAAGGTTATGACAGTGAACGCCACTGCCGGTGCTGTGTACGGGCACATGAATGAAGTCAAATCTCTCAGGCTTGTTACGTCGAAAAACCCAGACCATCCCGGCTATAAGCACTGTGTCACTGTTGAAGACCTGTTTATAGAAAAGGGGAAATACGGACCGCACTACTGTTTAGTGACTCAAGTGCACGGCCGCCACATGGACGCCCTGCAGTCTGACCTACAAGACCACCACTTCTCGGTTTCCGCCACGAAGCGCATTATAAAGCAAACGCTCCTCGCTCTGGACTACTTGCATACCGAGTGTAAGCTTATCCACGGGGGTAAGCCACTATCTCTGGCGAAGAGTTCTTGAACCTGAAATGGTTTTAATTAGACCTTAAACCAGCCAACATTCTTTATTCGCCTTCCTACCAAGATGATGCTATAGCGCGCCACATCGAAGATTCTCCATCTAGCAGTTATGAACCTCGTTTAGAGCCAGACCTATCTCCCGATCCAATCATTACAGTTAGGTCCCAACCTCTGCCAAATTTCGGCCTACAAGAAGATATGAGCAACATCAATATATGTCTTGTTGATTATGGCGAAAGTGAGCTTAATCGGACGGCTAGATCTGGTGTAGAATTTTGACGATGCGGTTGTTGTTCCCAGCGGCTTCAGCTGAGCAAGAACATACACACCCATCTCAACCTACCCTGCTTCGCGCTCCCGAAGTCGTAGTCGGCTACCCCTGGTCAACCGCTGTCGATATCTGGTCTATCGGAGGTTTGGTGAGCGTCTCACTCATTGGTCTCCTTGGCGATAAGTATGGCTCACACTACGATGTTCCATAGGTATTCGAGTTCCTAATCGGCAACCCGTTTTTCGCCTTGTACGAGACAGACTCTGTCTCGTTGGAAGACTCGCTGCTGCGCCGAATGATTGAGCACATTGGTCCTTTCCCCCCGCATCTTCTGGAAAAGGGAACAAGGCGCGATGAGTATTTCGACGCTGAGGGTGAGCTACTAGATGATCTCGATATAATAGTCTCTGACACTAGTGAAGGTACTCTTATCCGCGTGAAAGAGTTTCGTCCACAATCTATCGAGGATTGCCTGAAAATTTACAACATCCTCGATTCGGCGGACATAGCGCCAGCGGCCGCCTTCATTCGACGCTGTCTCACAATGGATCCGGAGAAGCGGCCTACCGCAAAAGAATTACTGGAAGACGAGTGGTTGAAGGATGCATGACATGTGGGTATTCTTGTAAAGGATGCTGTACTGTCTGGAATGTAGGAATCTGCAAGTAAAGGGCCTTATCTCTGGGTTCCAGACTGGTTGTGTCTATTATTTTGTGGGTGTCTGTCGATTATGTAGTCTAGCTTTGAGGCCGCTTGAGCTCACGGGCTCACGGGCTCGTCTCCTACGCTTGTGAGTATGCTAGGCTGAGGCGAGACGCCTGCGTATCTATTTTCCGATTACTCGCCCACTTCGGGAGAGACGGCCGTGCTCCTAGCAGTCTCCACTCTAGAACTGTCGGTGTGCCCTGCTGCCCCCAGCCATATCTGATGAATGTGAAGGTACGGTGAGGGTTGGGTGCAACTCGACGGATCTCGAAAGCTGATCGAGGCACTCACGTGTGCTTCCACGAGCCACGCGAGCCACCGCGCCAACTGCGTCTCGTCCACCCTGCTCTTGATCGGCAGCCACTCATGTG